TGGCCTTGCCCCGCTCCCGCAGGGTCCCTGAGGGGCTGACAGCTTCCACTGCGCAGGAGGTGGCCAACACCTGCGACTCGAACTGCAGCAGCTGCCCCATGAAACTGAAGTTAGGGGAGATGATGCTCCGGCGCTGCTTGACAAACTCAAAGGCCTCCTCCAGCTTGACTCGCTGCTTCATCATCAGGTAAGCCAAGCAGATGGTGGCCGAGCGGGAGATACCAGCCTGGCAGTGGACTAGGACCCGGCCACAACACTCCTTCACCGAGTCTGGAGGGCAAGGGGGGGATGAGACGTGAGACCAAAGCCCGGCAACCCCTCACCAAACCTGCAGGGCGGTGGCTGACCTCCCTCCCACCAGTGCAACGAATGGCCTGGGCTCTGCTGGACCCCAGTCCCCTCTGAGCCAAAGGCTCTGGGTCTTTGAAGCAGGAACGTCCCCCTCCCCGGCAAAACACGCACGGACACAGCTCCCCTGCGCAGGCACTCACCGATGTACTCGATTGCCTCCATGAACCAGGAGCTGATGTCAGCTTTGTGGTTATCCTCCACGGGGATACACTTGTACTGGTAGTGCCCCTCGAAGTGGTTGGGGCAGTCTGAGGAGAAAAGGGGGGTGAGCCCCCGCGGATCCAGCATGTCGCGCCGGGCGGCGTGGTAGGCGCTGCCAAGGTAGAGGAAGGGAAGGATTTCCACAGGGCCACCCTGTCACGGAGGAAAACAACAGATACGGGGGGTGACCAGGGGACACATCCAGATGGCTCGGAGGCTCCAAGCAGTGCAGGAACCTGGCGTCTGATCCAGGGCCCTCAAAAGAGGGAGCCGAGGCTGCCCTTCTGAGCTGTGAAACCCATTTCGGCCCTTCCCCTCTTCATCCTGTTCAGGAACGGGCAGGTGTGGGTAACGGGATTTGGGCTTGTCCTCTCCGCAGGGAGCACAAACACCCTGGGGTGAGGAGGACCGCGATGCTCTCCCACGAGAGGAAAGGAAGGAGGGCTCTGGCTCTGCAGGCCTCAGCCGCGGGAGAGCAGAAAGATTCTGGCAGGACCAGGTCGCATTTCTGGGAGGAGCGGTCAAAATAGCCGAGCACCAGGGTTCTAGACGTACCTGGTCATGGAGGGGGGTCCCACAGGAACTGCAGCCCAAATCCAGGGGCTCGGCGCTGGTGGGGGGTGACACATTGCTCAGGGACTTGGTTTTTGCACAGAATTCAGGGTACTCCGAGGAGAAGCGCTCATAACCTCCTGCAAGAAGAGAGGCACCAGGCGTTAGCCCGGGCTACGTTCACGGCAGTGCAGAGCAGCGCAGCCCGAGCTGACGGGGCTCGCCGTGCCCTTCGCCACCAGATGATGCTACAGCCATGGTGAGTGCTCTCCTGCCCCAGGCTCCTGGCAGCAAGGGGGGAATCCTTGAGGCCCCACCACTCCCTTGGAGCAAGAGCTCTAAGAGCTCTGCAACGCTCTTGGCTGCCCAAAGTCTCAGGTCCAGGGTTTAGTCCCTTACACACCGCCAGCCAAAACCCCAGACCGAGGCCAAGGTTGCTCTCTAAGATGACGGAGAGAGGGTTTGTTGCCAGCATCCTCTGACTTTAATGGGAAAAGCCGCTCCCAGGCCAAAGACCGTTCAGTTCCCAGCTTCCCCAGACTGATCATCCTGCCACAAAGCACAGCGAGGTCTCCCGTGTTCCCAGCCTTGACGCTCCAGCCCAGAGCTCCCAAAACAAGAGCTGCAGTGAAGCTACACCACAGCAAAGCTGCTCTCCGGAGAGAGGTGTCCCCTGCCTCCCAGGGACACGGGTGCGAGCTGAACACAGAGGTGAGCGCCCCGTGAAAGAGCAGCTTGCTCCTTTGACCTGCTGCCAAGGGGATAAAAGCAGAGGTGACCTCAGGTCTTCCTAACGGCAGGCAAAACAAGAGCAAACCCCGTCGACTTCCCAGGACAGGGAAACTGCAGTGTTGGCTACAAATAAACACTTCTGGTGAGGTTTCCTTCTCCCATTTAAATCAAATCAACAACCCTGACATCCTTGTGGGCTCTGACCTTAAGCCTTAAGACCAGCGGAAATCGGGTATTTTACTGTCACCACAGGAATCTAGCTAGACCAAGCCCTGACTCCCAGGGTAGCTCCTGAAGACTCAGCCCAACCGCAGGACCTACGCCTGCGGATCCGGGCTTGCCAGAGCGCACGCAGCAGGACACACATTCCTTATCCAGCCCTGGCTCTGGGACTGCCCTGAACAAGGCTGGATGTTGAAAAGAGCAGCAGACGCGAGCATCTCCAAGCAGAGCAGCCCAGGAGCAGGCAGCTAGAGACCAATAGTGCCAGCATCCCAGGGTCCTTTATGGTTTCCTCCCTTTACACAAGGAAGGATCTAGGACCTTAGAGCAGGCGCGTGCGTATGCATCGCTGAGTCTGCATTGTCCCTCCCCGGGGAGCAGGACAGCTTGCGGAGGCTGCGCTTCCAGGGCCTGACATCCCTTTGGAGTCCTTCTGGTTCGGCTTGGAAGAGCACCCAGAAACAAGTGTCCCTGTTAGACATCTTCAGGAGGTCTGATCCTAAAATCCCTGGGTCTACCACATCCCACTCCGGTGGCCACCGCACCATCCTGAGAGGGAGAAGCTGCCCAGGATGATGTGCGGAAATAGGCTACCTCCTCGGAAAGGCAAAGCGACCCTTTCAAACAGTCATAGAGGTTTCTCCTCGCTGTTTCTCACCAGACCTAACGCCCGCTCAGCCAAGCGCCACATCCAGCAGCTCCATCCGTGGCGTGCAGCAGGTGCCCATCGCCAAAGACCACCCAGCCGGGCTGTTCCGCAGGGAACCCGGCAGCGGACCGATCTGCACAAAACAGATCCAGGTCTTCATCGTCACCTGCGCCCAACAAATTTGCGTTTGGACAGGCACAGAGCCGGGTTAGCACGGCTCTTGTGAAACCAGAGCGGGCTCAATCGTTTTAGTAGCTCTCTGGTAAGCGAGAAAGCATTCTCCAGTGCCACGACCGAGTCTCTGGGAGCCCGTTCCTTGGAAGTAAAGGACTGGAAACCCCA